CGACAAGCAAGCTCAACGTCCTGAAAGCTTTATATGATAGAATACACTAACTGTGCGAGTAATTCATGAAAAAGTGGTCGGAAATGGTAGTAAAAAATACAGCAATGAAGAAACACGAGTACCTCTGCTCTATTCCTATGGTACACGCTAGATAATGCAACCATTTCTGCAGCATCAAAATCATAAACTTGGCAAGGCTCAGTTGCAATTGCAACAGCAGTGTTCTTAGATCTAGGCAAAATAGAAGATTTTTCTTCCCTCTCGGCAACCAAACCAGGATTTAGAGTTATCCTAAAAGAAAAAAAAATTAATAATGTTCCACTTAAATAGTCGCTTATAACATGTCCAGAATTTTAACAAAAACAACTATATTACATTACACAGACAGCGGGCGGACCTCAAAACATGCTATTTCATTGATCTCTATTTATACGGTCACGGAGCAGAAAAAAGTAAAATTCGGATGCCAAAATGTAAAACTTCAAGTCATCTAGTACTTCAGCACATAGGCAGTAAAAGGATCTTTATTAGACTAGAGTTGAAGCTTCAACGAAAAATTTCATTCTCCTGATTAAAACTTGTAAATGTGCTCAATTAAACGAAAAACTCTTCCAAACCGAAATAAATCAAATACACAGTTCAAGAACTAGACACATACTTCAACAAATTTTTGTCATTACTGGGTTGAAATAAGGCAACTCCATTGAAGTGCTGTAAATAATCAGGTAATGAAGGAGAAATTCCGCACAAATCTAAATTAATTGGTAAATCACATATGTAAATATCCGGAACAATTCCGCGGATTCTTCGAGCGTGCTTCCAAATCTCTGCCGGGAAATCATTTTCACTTACGACAAATTCTCGCATTTTAGCGTCATTTGTAGACACATTTGACCGATTGGCCGGAACCATTTTTTTCTCTGCAACCGCTTTCATGCAAAAGGAAGATCTGGAGTTGCTCATGTACCATGTTTGATATTCTTCGGTATAATTTTCCTGCGAATATCATGCATTTTAATTAACAATGGATGAAAAATTTACTTACTCATGTGAACTGTAACACGTGAATAATTAGTGCAAACTAACTAATTAATTAGACGACAGTGATTTTTGCATCACTAATAATATTAACATCGCTAATGAACACGTTTACCAAATGGCTCTATAATTTATGTAGCATCTGAATATAAATCAGACCATATAAGAAAAAGCATGTTGTCATACGTATTTGTTTGTTGGCTTCATAGCAAGCATTGATGAAAAAGTTGTTAATGCATATGGACGAAATTAAGTAAAGAGATAGATTAAAGAAAACAAGAAACGAATGTCCAGACATTACCATATTTAACTTAAGATAAATATTAATATTTTACAAAGGCAAAATTTGATTTTAATGACATTACAGAATAAAAAACTACCCGATGGCTCTTTGTTGCTTTGCGCCGACTACCAATGTCAAACTTTTGGATAACACAGTCTTTTAGAGAAGCCACCATGACATTATTTCTTTCATCAGATATTCTTGTGCGATCATCTTCACTATCAACATCTTGCTCATCAATAACTAACGCTGAGCAGAAATAATCTATCCAATCCTTTTTTCGTAAAATATATTTGAGATGATTATTATAAGTACTATAACCAGTATGTGTCTTGTTATTCAATATATTACGTCCACAAGAAGGACCGTGCTTTCGTACAAATAGATCTTTTTCTAATCTAAAAACAAAAATCTAACAATATTTTACAGTAAACAAGACATGAATCCGACATTGTATAACATATTTAGTGACAGCACAGTATTTTTATTAGCGTTCAACAACAATGTTGAATGATAGACAATTATTCGTGCAGCAGCAAAGTCAGTCACCGAGGTGACACCTTTGAGAATACGAACAGTGTAACTAGAATTATGAAATAAAGTTCGAAACTGATAAGAAAACTATTATTTGCTTACAAGCTCACTTCTTACTCAGCTTTCGCCCTCCAAAATTAATTAACCCAGGAACATAGGTAGTCAGCTGTTCTTTAATAAACAAATGAGCCATTTTTTCCTGATCTGGAACTGTACAGATTGGTACCCTTCGCAGCCTTAACCATCCTCGTAATTTTTTTTTACTTGTTTTCCGTGGCTGTCTCCTAAAATTCTGACAGACATGAATAATTTTCGAAGTCTCAGATTGAAACCTAGTCTTCAAACAAACCGCAATGTCATTTTCACATCTTAAATTTCTCGTCATGAAATAAACAAGAATCATATGGTTATGAATCACACTGAAGTCTCAAAAAACTAAACCTGCAAAGCTGAAAAAGATGAAGCCGCGGTTTACCGAAATATTCGAACTTATTATTCTGATTATAGCCGTGAAATTCAGATACGAGTTCATCAACATCATAATACTGATATTCCGAAGCATCAAAATGTTCAAAGCAATTCCTTGTTACCCGAAGTAGCGAAACACGCAGGTTACATTC